AACTTATCGAAGGGCAAACGTGCACTTAGACCTGTTTGACTGAATCTGGCCTTAATTGCTTTCAGAAAATCATTGAAGGAGGTCTTCGAGAGTATGTTTTATAAAAGATTTCAATCAAGAAGACACCGTGCTCTTATCTGCTACAGAGCAGTACAAAGTACTGCAGTGATAAACCTGTCAGGCATCCATCTCTCCTCAAGTAGATCATAAGAGAGCTTAGTAATAAGCTATACTTTGTGCAACACGTTCAAGACCTGAAGCATGTCCGCCGCATGTCATATCTACATTCAAATTCCACAACGTGCATGGTGCATCCAATAGAAAAACGAAGACAAGACCCCCCCCCCCCCCCCCCCCCCCTTGACAAAGTGGGTTTAGGGTTTAGGCGTAGTACACAACTACACTGGGCAAAGCTGAAAATCGAACAAAGAGCAAATATAGATTACTCAAGACTCAAGACAACATTTTGTTCGAGCCAGCAAAGCTGAAGTGACAGAGCAGCAGCAATAGAAATACCAAGAGTAGCCAGCGCGACTCCACCCGCGTTACAAAGGGATATTGATGAACTTTACATTCGTGTGTATGAAATATCCAATAGGATGTGAAGTTGTGAACACTGGAACCCAAAAATGGGGGGATTGGCAGGTTCAAAAAAAACAAACTATGATCCATTGTTTGAAAACAAACAGAGATAAGAAACGGTGGTGTTTTAGCCTGTAGGTCTTGGAGACGAAGAATTATCTGCAATGAACCCAGTCTGGAGAGAAACTCATCAATGTCGAAGTACAAGATGTCTCAGTGCAAATCAATGTCTCCAATAATCATGAATGTGATCCAGAGTACAATGTCTTGTAACGAAGGGACGAAGCTGATAGGAGGGATATAAGAGGGTGGAAGACAAAGTATCCATCAATGTCATCAAAGATAGATCTCCCTCGTGTCCCACTCCTCCTTCGTCGGGCATCTCCCCTCTGTCCATGTCAGCATACAGTATCCCAAAGACGAGCCTAGCGAGAACCAATCACAACATAGTGCCACGTAGGCACAGATCTCCCATGAAGACATAAGCTTCTCTCTCTCTCTCACAACCAATCTCACAGCACTGATCTTCCTCCTCGTCGATACCCCAATCTGAGTCGAAGACAATGTGGCTAACGCCACGTCAGCAATCAACATCCCACCTGGCGTCAAGACCAGAGAGGCGCCAGCAACATAATGCAGCAGTCTCTTGTCATACTAAAAAGGTGCTAGTGGCAAAGGTACGCAGTTGAGGGAGAGCACGACTTTGAAATAACAATTTTGTATTTTGACTATAACCACTTTTTTCAGAATTGAGGTTATAAAAAACTCAAAAAATGAAGTCCATGAGTTTAAAATCCCACTATAGTCGTCACACACAATACCAGCGTAGTGCCAGCATCAAGCCAGCGTCGTGCCAGCGTCCAGCCAGTGTAGCGCCGGCGTCGAGAAGCAAGTGCAGGGCTGAATGTCGATGAGCAGGGGCTGAGTCAATAAGTAGTGTTGACACAAGTTGAGCAGCCTCTGGTCTCCTGGATACGAGGGCTCAGATTGACTCGCAGTCAATGGCCTGGATCTTTTACAGTTGCAGACTTCCACTTGGACCAGAGTCTACATAGATACCTGCAAACAGCCAAATATGTGTGTCTGATCGGTGGCCTGGACTGGGTCCGTGTAGACTTTGGCTCGTGAGCCTCAATTTCCGAGCTACAATTGACGGTTGACTTTCTTTGATCAATTGTCAGACGCAAGACCTCTGAAGCCTGCGGCCGCCCCTGGCCGGCGGGAACAGCATATTTTAAGCGGGTTTTGCGTTCCTGCCGGCCCAATTTATGAGTTCCATCGCAGAAATTTCAGCTTTCGGCTAGGTTCCCTTTTAGTCCACGATCGTATGCAAAAACAACGTCGAGAGCAGTAGGTAGGAGTTTTTTCTTACTAAACCATCTGGCTTCAGACGGAGGTTGAGATTTGTACCTTGTCCTGCTTCTGTGGCCTTCCTCTGCCACCTGTAGAAAAGTATCCATGCTCTAGTATCTTTTCAACTCCATATCCTCCATTCATAGAGGGAGGAAACATAGATGGCCGGGTAGGAAAATCACGGCCTTCTACATATAACAGTAACTAGGAGGCCTGAAAGATGGGATATGTCCTCAGGTGTGGGGGTACATCTATTCTGTACGAAATTCCCAGGGTCCATAATAGACAGACAACAATTTATGTGACACATTCTCTTTCTAAGGAAAATTCTTTAGACTTGACCCAAACAAGATCTCCTTCTTGAAACCGTGATGGCCAACGATGTTTGTTGGCTTGTTCAATCATTTGTAGTTGGGCTTTCTGAATATTTTCCATGGCTACCGTGGACCCGGACGCCGGACCAATTCGGACCCGGACCACCAGTCGGTCCGGTTGCAATCCGGACGTCCGCATTCCCGAACCGTGCGGACCATGCCCGGATCGGTCCGGATGGTCTGGATCATCGTGTTCGGACTGGTCCAGATTGGAAAATAATTAATATATATTGTCACATAACTACGAACTAAAAGAGCGCACTTTGCGGAACAAAGAATAAAAGCAAAAAACGCGCACAGTGATAACATGCAAAAATAAAAATAAAAACAAAAAGAAAAAACAAGGGCAGATTGAAACCATTAAATTTCTCATTCTTCTTTGAACTCC